CGCGAATTTTAATACTGTGTACTCTACATGTAGTCGTTATTTTAAAAAGATTTACAAGAGTTTCCAGAATATTGTTATTAAAGCGACAAGGAAAAATACTGGTATTGAGCTTTAGGCTTTTAAGTACTTATATTAAAAAAAATCAAATATAAAACTAAGTTATTGTTTCTCACTCTTAATTTTAAAAACGCAAGAAAAGTTTTTGGAAACTTGTGAACAAAGACTGCTTCCACCTTGCAAAATTAACATACGCACAGTAATCATGCTTGTACGCTACTTTAAGCAGTAAAAACCGATATAATTTTCCGTCACTAGGTGTCTATCTGCTATGCTAGCTCAAGAGTCCATATATTTGAAATTAAAGCTATTTCGATTAGTAAATATATAAGTTGTTTACTTATTCTCATAACAAACCTACGGTAATGTTTATAGTTACTATCATCAATAGGGATATTAATCATGGACACAATGATAGACATGCATTGGTCTAGATGAATAAGGTTGCTTGTAGAAGCTTATAGAATGATGTAAAAGGATAGGCTTGGATGTAGCACAGGGTAGCGAGCTAAGGGCCTAAAAATAATCACCATAGTTCTTACCAACAAATCCACACATTCTCCATGTACATCGATATACGACACCAGTTTCGATTCCATGTTATGAATCACCCGCCTACAATCGCCTCGAATGATCTTTCAACTCCGACCACAATGATTATAGATGCGCTTTTGGCTTCACGGATAAGACACGCTATCCTCACTGCTTTTAGAGCTTTTACCGTATTCAGAATGTCATCGACGTATCGAACAAGCACACCGACAACAAAAACGTCAGATTAGTGCTACTATGGCGGGCATTACTTTGGGTTTGACAAACGAACCTCGCAATAGACAAACAGTGGAGTCGTTTTATGTAGTGCCCATTACTTCGAATTTTCCAAGAGATCAAGACGATGGGTCATTCGTTTAGAGAAGGTATTCGCCGATCTATGGATGAATTTTCAGTTGACGAAAATCCGAAATGAGGCCTCACAAGGTTTGATGTAAAACTTATGTACATAATCGCGCCATTGTTTGACGCCAAAGGTTAAAGGCATTTTTTGTGTTTTTGAGTCCAGACGATGCGAATATAAAATGTGTTGAAGTTGCACTTACATGATAATGCCACTGAATGCTTAAGGACAAGATTGGAGGCGTAACATGATTACGGGTTATGTTTACGATCAATACCGGTGTGGGTGTGACGTCATTATATGGCGTCACTAAAAAGCTTCTAAAATGGTCTAGAAAGA